ATCTATATATATAAAAATGAATTGCTGTTCGTTAGTCACGCTAAAACTCGATAACGGCTGGACCGATTTGGCTAATTTTGGTCTTGAATTATTTGTGGAAGTCCAGGGAAGGTTTAAAAGGTGAATAAATATGAAAGTTGTTAACTATCTTTCAGATTATTTTTATGTAGATTGATAAATCTTAAGTTCTGTCAAATTAAATTTCTGAACGCAACCATAATATTTGACATTTGTCAACTAAGTTTATTTTATACAAAAATTTAGGTCTTTTATATATCGATTGGGGCAGTACGAAGTCTGCCGGGACAGCTAGTTTTCAATAAAAATTACTCAAAACACCTTCCTCCCGATTATTTCATGTATATTTTTTATGATTATGTGATTTTAAGTCATTTCCAACAAGAAAAGGTTATATTTTCGACAAATTATTTTTTGCGGTGAGTTTTCAGACAAAATGATAAATAAATGAAAAAGAAAAAGAAATTAAGCCCTACTCATTGCGATTTACTTTGTTAAGAATTAACTTGTTATTCTTGTAAGTATACCGTTGGGAATCGGCATTGAAAAATGAACACTTAGGACCAATTTGACAAAGTAAGGTAAAACTGACATAAGTCGTGACATTGTATTTCGTTTTCAATTTACATTTTATAGCGAATAAACAGTGTCCTAAAACATTCGCGCAAAATATCAGAATTTAATTCTACCGAAACCACCTTTCAGCATATTATAAATTCCCCCATTTTTCTTCAGGGCCTTTATTAAACAACATGCCATGCATTCTGTATATTCCTCCTAAAAGTATTTTTACATTGTTCGGCATAAATCAAAACAATTTCACGTGTCACAAAAGTAAAAGCTATATTTTTGCCTGTCACTTCCTTATACACTTACTGGCTGGTATGGGAGGTTGATGTATTGATTTACGGCAGTTTCAAGGATTGAGTTGAGATATTCAATTAATTATTTATAAGCGACTAATTTTGGTAATACTACGCAGTATTTGAGAATTATAATTCTTCGAAATTGTAACAGCAATATAAGTTAACTGAAATGTGTACATTATTGTTATAATTTAATTTTTCGATGACTTTTCTGCAGTGATAAACTAAGCGAGACTAAGACCAAGACTGTCGCAGTATTGGTACTAGTCTTGCTTATTTGATCTTGGTATTACTTACTTCGAGGACATTCTTCTCCATTTTTCAAACAATGATAAAATTTCTTTTTTTCAATTTTGCTTATCCCCACTTTACTGTTCTGATTTCCACTTTGTGGAAGGTGATAATTCATTAAAATTTCGTCCTAGGGTTTTTAATAAGGATAGTGATAGTGCATAAGATAATTAGTTTATCGGAATTTGTTTAAGATAAACGAAAACTAAAAAGAACCTGTTTCGTTATCAATTCCACTACGTTGCGCGTAGTTATAGCAAACGTAAATTTGAATTTGAAATGTAGCAGTTTCTCCTCTTTTTGCATTTTACTTATTCTCAGGGAAACAAAATCTGCATATTGGACGAAGGTAGCTTATCCTCTGAAATCTCATTATTCAAGCAACTATGTTCATACAGATGTAAATTTTTCATTGTAAACCAAAACTGATTTTTTATATTGCACTTTACATATGTTCGCATAGATACGAAAACTCCTTTAGATGATTCCTGGTAGGACCCCTTTTACATGAATGCTGCAACGTTTTTCATCGTTTCGAATTCGCCGCTCGCCTTCGTTGGGTATTAAGCTAAGTAAAATATCGTTCCTTTTCAAACTTCGCGTCCGTGTAATCCGTCAAGGCTTTTTAGAGAACGTCGCATCGTTGGTGGTATTGCAATTTGTTCGTTCCACGCTTGCGGCTATATTTATGTTTTCTGAGTCATCTGCCCTTTTGTGTGCATTCGTATTAAAACTAAAGCTCCCTCGTTGCTAGCTGCAGAAAATGGACGCTGAAAGTGTAAACAAACACGAGCAAAACACGCAAATCTAGATAGACACAACATGAATTACGATTATGTCGTTGTAGCTCATAAATAGAAATACTTTATACTGAAATAAGTAGGTAATAATGTTAACCGAATGGTTCATGAGCATTATTTTAATATCCAGTGCGATACCTAAAAGAATTATAGAAACAGACTGTCTTCCTTGAGGCCCACACGTCTAACTTCCTAGTATAAAATATTAAATAAGTAAATAATTATGATTTGCCAACGTGTTTTTCTTGAGTTTCAATAAATCAATCCCCAAATCCTCCTTCTTACAGCCTTTTAGTTTAAACAAAAAATACGCCTTCTCCAAATGCTATGAAATTGCTTTCAGATTATATTATTATAAAAAGTTTCGATCGGCACTTCAACGAAATTGATATCATTCTGTGTTAAGCGAACAAAGAATGATTTCTAGATAGGCGCACAACTGGGTAAAATCTTTAAAATATCAACTATGAAACAGAAGTGGGCTAGCACAAGGCTTCTTCGGCTTCCCAGATTTATTTTTACTCTGATGTCCTTGAGAATTTTCAATTCTTTTGCGACGCCCCCATCTGGTCAAAAAGCACCTACTAGTTGTAGGGTCATAGTGAAACGAATTAGCAACTTATTTATTTTTCACCTCTACCAATTCACAAAGAAAGGAATTTTATCATCATCATTATGAGGTCGTCAGTTCTAAGACATGTTGGATACGCATATCCACTCCTTCCTATCCTAAGCTAATCTTCGCATTTCCCTAAAACTAGAACAACCCACATCGTTAACCATTTGCGAACAGTAATCTAATCTAGGTCTTCCTCTACCCCTCCTAACTCCCGTTTCTGTCTCTAATATGTCTCTGACTAGACCTTCATGCCTGAGAAGGTGTCCTACTAACCTATCTCGCCTATTCCTTATTGACTTCCATAGAGTCCTCTGCTCCCCTGCTTTTTCTATACCTCTTCGTTTCTAACCTTCTCTATCCACGGTATCTTCACCATTCGCCTGTAACACCACATTTCGAACGTTTCCAACCTTTTCTTTTCCTCCGCGCCCACTGTCGATATTTCGCACCCACACAGCGTCGTGCCCAAAACACACCTTTAAGAACATTTTTCGTATTTCTAAATTAACCGTTCGCAAGCATAGAAATGACTTCTTTTTACTGAAGGCTACTCGACCCTGCGGTATCTATATAAAGCAGAGGATAGTACTTTATATCCCTACAACTCCTCCCGTTCTGACTTGTCTGACTTTCTAGATACCTAAAATCAGCCACTTCTTCTAATTTTTCGTCTCCTATACAATAATAATCTTAGTCTACCTTATTAGATAATTCGGGAACGTAAAAATGGTACAGAGTTAGTAAAGACGGTAAGCCGTTTCACCGCCCTGCAACTTCGTGATCTTAAATTCGACTCGCCACTCTTGACTGGACTTTTTATTATTATTCTTTCTGCTATTTAAACGGTCGCTTATTGACCTACTGAAAGTGTAGGTAAGTAGGTGTTAGCTTGCAATTTCAAATAAACAATTTAGATGTATCAACACTGTACCAGTGACATGAAAATAAATTAATGAATACTACATAAAAGTAGTTCTAGCCCAGCAATAAGTTATCACAAAAGCTTCAAATAACGTATAGAAGGTAGTTTATTAGAAAATAATAATGAAAACACAACACGAGAATAAAAATGAAAAAATGTATTTGTTTTACTTTGTTGGCTGGCTGATAATGAGGAGGATGTGCTTGCTTTCCTGAACATGGCTTCTCAAAACTGAGCTCAAGATTAGAAATCCGCCGCTCTCATCTCCTTCTCTACGCTTATTTTCGATTTGTACTTATTCATCATTACTGCAACTGCAGAAAAACCTGATTCTCACAAGTACGATGTCGCAAATGATAATAGAATCCTCAGTGCTGACGCAGACAGTCAATCTATTCCTTTTAAAAATGACTTACCCCAAAATTTTTGTAATTAGAAATGAACGATTCAAATAATTGTCTAGTTTTTTATACTTTGCTTTTTGTTTCAGATGCCATCCAATTAATACATCTTGACATGAATGGGTAAGTTAACCAACAAATTATCAAGGAAAAATTTAATAGAAACTCTTAACCAAAACTAAAAAAAGCATTGTTCCCTAGTTTTGCACTCATCCTTGAACACACATGTACCACAAACACTATTAAGACACTTGCATCTACTTACTTCTGCATCCATATCCGCGGTGTCTTCGTCATCACCTTCATTTTTGTCATGAATGTACAATCCACAACTATCTCGTCATCCGTATGCTCTTCAGCAACCATCAGCAAATCATCATCAGTTGCCACAAAATTTTAAAAGTTCGGTTATTCATGCTTGTTTTACAACAAATAAGATAGGAACAAGTGCACAATTATAAATAGTGTCGCTTACTGAGGTATAGAGTAAGAAACTGTCATTTACAGAGGCCTAGAAGTGAGAAGTGACTCTCTCTAAAAGAGGTATTTACACTGTCACTCATAGAAGTTCTAGAGGCTAAATGATAGGATCTATTTTTGTCGCTTATAGAGTTTTCTTACTTATCCAGGTTCGACTGTAATATTAACATACATGACATTCTTTATAAATGTTTTTGCGTTATTATTCCCACGCACATCTTTATTGCATTTGGGATTTACAAACATTCCGGTTCTCTGAAATCCCAACAAAGATCATCCCCAATAACCCTAATAAGCTTAACTTCCCTAAAATGTCTAATGCGCCGCTGAGTTTGAGGTACCCTGTATACAGCTAATAAAAAGAATAACCGAATAAACAGGGGTGAGGGGTTAAAGAACGCCTCTTAATAACCAAAACTGATAATACAATATTGCACTTGCGAGGAAAACAATACATTCATAGTTATGCTCGAAAAATAAATAAATTCGTTTTTATAGTTATTTTAGCATTGGGTAATACAATAAATGATAAATTAGTGGTGGTTTTCAAACATTAAATGCCTATTAAAGGAAAATAAAAGCGACGCCGAATTAAAACCTATAGACCGATTATTGTAATAATTCTCTCGAACAGCTTATATCCATGATTTCAACTATATGTCTAGCTATTGAATAGGTACAAAACAAAGGACTGGCATTATAATGACTTAAACGGTAAATTTCCGCTGATTAAATCCCAACATACACGCTATTATGATATTTGCACAAATTCCCTTCCTCTATCTCTCATTCTCTATCATTGAATAGATCATTTCTACAAAAGCCGTTCCAGTTCATAAAAACTGCATTTCATTTGCATCTGTATTAGGTTCATAATTAGTTTACATAGAATAATATAATCTAATACTATTTTTTTGTTTAGATTGTATGTTTTTAAACATACATTTTTACACGTGTTTTAAAATATTTTGTTTTTAACATGCCACCCCTGGCGGGCATTCCCTGCAACCTACATTAATGTTTCATCGTTTCAAGTGTCTCCATTTATAAAATCATAATTTAATTGATAATTATTTATTACAAATAGGTAATGTAATAAAATACGTCAATTTTAAATTAGTGTGAGGCGGTACGTAGGTACTTCAGCCACTACATGTCCTCATACAATCTCTACTGGAGACGACAATTTTCTAGTTTATACGCAATTGGTAAAGTGAATTTGTTGTAATTTCGACCCTTGTATTGATACTACAATTACATCGATACTATACTTGAAGAGGTTTTATTGTGATGATACAATTGTTCTAATGTAATGCGTTAACACATTATACAGTCTCGGTTTTGCCGTATCGACACAAGAAAAGTAGTGTTACCCAGTTTATTAACGACCACAAACATCATTAAATATTTCTTCCACCTGAAGAAGACACAGTGTTGAGAAATGTTCCTTACAGTTTTTAATCATCTGTTTTGTAACAAACTTTGTGTTTATTTTTGTCGATCTTTCTCATTCTAAAGAGAAATGCATTCTTTAATTGTCAAGGAATTATTCATTTGGCATTTCTATCTCTAACAATATCATCTTTTCTAATTTAAATATCTCACTAACGGTCATTATTTTTTTAATGTTGTAGCCCATCTTAGTTTGGCTGAGTTACAAATTTACTTGTAAAGTATCTAGCGCTTTGATAAATGTGAACAAGATTTTTATGATGCAATAAATTCTGTGAAAAAAACAATTTAAAAATAGTGAAATTATTTGTAAACCAACAAACGAGTTTCGAATAAAAAAAGAAACTACAATTATGCTATTTATATGTACATAGAATGAACCCAGTTGCCCTTTGCGTAAACACACTAAGAATTTCTTAAGGTTTCAGCTACGATTGTTTCACGTCAGTTTCATTGAAATATTTCATCATTTCTATTTCCTAAAATAAGGCAAAGGAATGTTTTTCACATACAAGAAATACTGGAACAAATGAACAGACCGACATTGATAAATATTACAGACAAGCAAGATAAGTTACCCAATGTTTTTCCATATAGAGACAGCAATGAAGAAAAAGGTAAATAAGCGTCAATCTAACGGGAGATTTTCGGAAAACAGGATGAGATATACCAATACTGAAATGAAAATTTGTGCCTACGAGTTTGGTAGCTTCAAAATGCAAACATATTCTTAATCAATAAAAATAATTTGGGTATAGTAATTTAATCTTACTGTCTAATTGCAGCATCAAATAATTAAAATTGCAGTCTTACATTGATGGTAAATTTATTCTGAACAGTTCTGTAGATGAACTCTTATGACATTGTGAGTTACTTAATAGTGGATTAATAGGCAATATTTTCTTTTTATTTTTTATTTACCCACTACAAACTACCTGAAATTAACGAGGGATTTTTTTTGTTGCTGTTGTCACACCCCCACCGGGAATCGAACCCCGGACCTTTGGCTTTACGCACCAAAGTTCTACTACTAAACCACGAGAGGTGACAACAGCAACCACGACCAACCGACCTGCAAGGTTAACGATCCGTTGATTTTTATTAACTTAATTATATATATATATATTAAATATATGAAATCCTATGACATTGTTAGTTACTTAATAGTGGATTAATATGCAATATTAATTTGAAATCATTTTTTTTTCCGATTTTTTATTTACCCACTATAAACTACCTCAAATTAATGAGATTTTTTTTTCTGTAGATGTATAGGTGCATTACTTGCTTTAGTGCTAAATTCTGAGACAGCTTGTTTATTATTAAATTTTTAATCCTTTTCATTCAGGCAAAATATGGGTCACAGGAGTCAAAGAATTTTTTAATTTATTCATAAATGACGTCACTGTAGGCTACTAAATATTTCTGTTAAAAGTCAGTATTTTGATGACGTCATTTATTCTTAAGACTGACAATGAGTGACACACAGTTGCTCTTGTATTTATAACAAATAAATGAAATCAAAATAACCTGAATACAAAAAAAGAATATGTCGAAAATTGTAGAAACAATAACTAACTTTCAACTTTCCTTTCTTTTTAAACGTTTCCTTCCAAAACCAAGGCACTAGTTGAGAAAGAAAGGCCATTTTGGTAGAGGTCGTAGGAAAACTTTCGGAAAATGTATAACTAAAATTAACATTTTAAGCAATTCTTATTTGCTCCCGTACACTCGTAGCTATAACTGTTCACTTAATTAGAGGTAGGTACGGCTCGCAAACGTAAGTGAGATAGCAAGTGATACCTGCGCTTAAGTTTTGACCATCACTCTATTATTTAAAAAAAATTCCAGTTGAAACAAATTAAATAAGCAGCATTTAAATCCATGTGGCCAGTATTTTAATCTCTTTCTGTCAGTATATAAATCAACAGTAAGTACTTTTAAAAATACTAAACGGACAGTAAAAATATAATACTATCTACACTGTAATAGGCACCTCGATTTATTTTCCTTTTTTGTAGAAAATCGCATGATTCATGTTCAATATTTAGAGCATGAAAGAAAATATGAGCGAATGTTTAATAAAAAAGAAACATGAAAAGTGTTTAAGGAAATTCCAAATCGTTAATTAATCTTCTATTTCAAACGTAATTGATAAGATTTAATCATTTGAATATTGTATGAATTATAACTATAGTAGCAGTAGCAATAAAAATAGACGAATGTTATATTATGATCGGCTGAAGAAATAAAAATTAAAGTTGCGGAATTTATTATTAACTAACCCTTTTTGGTCTTTCGTATCTTTGAAGTAAACTGAGGTAATGGTGCAACTTTCTCGTTTTCAAAAAAAAAATTATCTGCCACCACACAGCACTCGAACCGACTTTGACTAAGACGACCACTTGGCTACCCTTGAAAATGTCAGCTACAGTTTTGGGCGAAACGTCTAGATGTTACCAAAAACAAAAGCCGGAACAAATAGAATACTGACAGTGCCAAAAACGCCACACTCTGTAATAATACCGTTTATTTCCATTCTTACGTTGAAATGTTAAAAGCTCTAAGATGAACAAAAAAGAATGACAAAGGTAGACTAAAAATTTTTGTTTGGAAGTTTTCTTCTCAGAAACCAATATTTCTGCTACACCTACAGGGGCAGGAAATTTATTACAACATTTCAAAAGAATTTAATAAAAACAGGGGAATTAATAGATCACTCAATATAATTGTAGAATCAGATGTAAAAATAAATAAAAGCATGCATTTCTATGGATTTCATGTTAGTATCTAATAGAACACAATGTACCTATTTATTTTATGTAAGTATTAAAGCGTACATGCGAAATTCTTTAATTCATAACCTAACCTAACCTAACAGCGCTATTAGAACTGTCGCAAGAAACGTACATGCCGATTATATCTTGTTTTGTTGTAAACCAAAACAATATCAAAAATAAAATGCTTATATGAGATTATCATGAGCAAGTCGAGAAACTTATTTTGTCAAGAGCAGATTCTCATGATCTAAAGCCTTATCTCCTAACTAAATATGCAGACGAGATAAAATATTCACCGGTATTTTCCTTCTGTAGTTGGGTTTTAAAGAGTTTATATATTCTTTGAGGGCGAAACAAGTATTTACATTTATTACATTAAACATAAAAGAAAATAAAAGCACATAACAGTCA